AACTCACCTTCTTGCAACATTAATTACTACACAGAGAGTATTCGTTTATCTCTTCCACCATTTATCTTATGCAAAATACTTATATAACGACACTCTTCACATACTAATAAGAAATGTGATATATTAACCGACGTAAATCTTCGCTAATTCCTTTCCTTTTGTTGCGCATCACATTAACAATAACCACTAAGATTATCGTCAAAATTATCTTCATTATTATTATCGTTGTTATCTCTACTATTATTATTATCATTACTATTATTTTATTATTACTGTCATTATCATTACTATTATCATTATTATTATTATTATCATTACTATTATTATTATCATTACTATTATTTTATTATTACTGTCATTATCATTACTATTATTTTATTATTACTGTCATTATCATTATTATTATTATTGTTATCATCATTATTATTATTATTATTATTATTACTATCATTACTATTATTATTATCATTACTATTATTATTGTTATCATTACTCTTATTATTATTATCATTACTATTATTATTATTATTATCATTACTATTATTTTATTATTACTGTCATTATCATTACTATCATTTTATTATTACTGTCATTATCATTACTATTATCATTATTATTATCATTACTATTATTTTATTATTACTGTCATTATCATTACTATTATTATTATTATTACTATTATTATTATTATTATTATTATCATTACTATTATTATTATTATTATCATTACTATTATTATTATTATTATCATTACTATTATTATTATTATCATTACTATTATTTTATTATTACTGTCATTATCATTACTATTATTATTATTATTATCATTACTATTATTTTATTATTACTATCATTATCATTACTATTATTATTGTTATTATCATTACTATTATTATTGTTATTATCATTACTATTATTTTATTATTACTGTCATTATCATTACTATTATTATTATTACAATTATTATCACCACCATAATCATCATTATCCTTCTCATTACCATTATCATTACTCTCATCGTCCTCATTTTTATTACCAATATTCCCTATTCACCAGAAATGTCACAGAAAACACAAACACTAAAACAACAAAGAAATTCACCGCCTCCAGTCAATAACTTATCGCTATGCCAAAATACCACATTGCTCTCATTTATTTTCGGTATTGGTGATTCACACACGCACACGTATAAATATATACACATGTGCGTGCGTGCGAGTACATGATATAGATGTATATTTGAAAAAAAAAAAAAAAAAAAAAAAAAAAAAAAAAAAAAAATATATATATATATATATATATATATATATATATATATATATATATATATTTACATTTACATTTGCGCAATACATACATTTTTAACGTGATAAAGGTTAAATTCGTATGTACAGAGTTTGGGTTCGGTTATCGGCGATTAATCAAATTCAAAAGAAAAAAAAAAGAAAAAAAAAGGAAAATTTATAGACCTTAAAAAAAAAATCAAAATCAAAACAAGGAAATTTAACAGCCTTTTTAAAATTACTGAAAACAACATAACAAAAAAAAAAAGGAAACTAAACGGACTTTTGAAAAACACTGAAAAAAAAACTACAAATAACGGACTTTTTGAAAACATTAGAAACAAAGATAGGAAACAACGGATTTCTTTTTAAAAATAAACTTATTGGAAACTTTTCTATTTCCGCAGGCTGAGATAAAGATGTGAAGTCGAAGAATGAATGAATATTTGATCCAAACTATAATTCCTTTCCGTTCCATTTGTCTTTTTATCATTGTTATCATTTTGCTGCTTTCATTAATAGGAATGAATTAATAGTCATATTTTAAAGAGGTCGACTAACTAATTTTAAAAATCTTTCATCGTGGATATTGATTTCATTAGTTTTGATGAACAATTTATTTTTTTCCTCTTTTTTATACCAACTTTGAAACATTCTGAAACTGTCGCATCGATCTTTTTTTTTTTTTAATTTCTCGAGAGATTAAGTTTCAAATGTTCTGGCGTCGATGGAAACTTCTAACTCAATGACGAAAGTTTTGTTTATTTAATCTCTTCTCGTTCTTTATTACTTCCCTATTCTTCCTTCTGCGCTTCCTTCTCTAAATATTCTCTTTCATCTCTCTATTTGTCTGTCTGTCTGTCTGTCTATGAGTTCCCTTCTCAATCTCCCTTGTCCCTTCCTCTCTCTCTATACTCTACGTTATCTCCCTTCCGCCCCTTACCAGCGATTTCCATTCTCTCTCTCTCTCTCTCTCTCTCTCTCTCTCTCTCTCTCTCTCTCTCTCTCTTTCTCTCTCTTTCTCTCTCTCTCTCTTTCTCTCTCTTTCTCTCTCTTTCTCTCTCTTTCTCCCTCTTTCTCTCTTTCTCTCTTTCTCTCTTTCTCTCTTTCTCTCTCTCTCTCTCTTTGTCTCTCTTTCTCTCTCTCTATCTATCTACACCCTCCCTCTCTCTCTCTCTTTCTCTTTCTCTCCCTCGTTCTCTCTCCCTCTCCCTCCTTCCTTGCTTCCTCCCCTCTCTACCTCTTTCACTCTCACCTCCTCCTCTCTCCCCCCCCACTCTCAATCTATCTTCCATCCCCTCCTCCCCCCCTCCCCACCCCCATGATAAAAAAAATAATAATAATAACACAACAAAAAAATAAATATAAATAAAAAAATCAAAATGGAATCCATCATTAAAATAATAATAATAATAATAATAATACATAAAAAAAAAAAAAATAGAGTAAAAATTTGAATATCCGAAGCCAGAAACATCCGCAGTGAGTGGAAGGCGTAACCGGAAGTCGTCCTTGACCAGAGATGGTGCAAGGCGAATCGTCTCCCCTCCCCCCTTCCCCCCCCCCGGCGCGTCCCGGCCCCGTCTATTGTAAATTATCGCATCTATTGTTACCATTATCGTTATCATTGTTGTCTATTATCATTATCACTATTGCCTATTGTCATTATTACTACTGTCTATCATGATCGCAAATGAGGAATCATTATCATTAATATTATTATTACTACCATTATTATTATCATTATTATAATGAGAAATCATCATCATTATTATCATTACCACTATTATTGCTATTATTACTATCCTTATCATTATCAATACAATAATTCTCATTATCATCATTATTATAATCATTCTCATTATCATCGTTATTATGATCATTCTTATTATCATCATTATTATCATTATAAATGAGGAACCACTGTCCCATATCTTGAGTGGTTAGAATTAATTAATATGTTAGTTAATTTGTTGATTGATATTGAAGGGTGTGTGCATGAGATTAAAACAAGTGCGGGATGAGATATTCGGATACATGTATGCTTGTTTATTCGTCTGTCCATCTATGTGTCTCTCCTCCTTTCTATCTCCCTCTCTTTCTCTGTCTGTCTGTCTCTGCCTGTCTCTCTCTCTCTTTATTTATTTATTTTTCTCTTTCTCTCTTTCTCTCTTTCTTTCTCTTTCTCTTTCTCTTTCTCTCTCTCTCTTTCTCTGTCTCTCTCTCTCTCTCACTCACTGTCTTTCTCTCTCTCACTCACTCTCTTTATCTCTCTCATTCACCCTCTTTCTTTCCCTCCCTCCCTCCCTCCCTCTCTCTCTCTCTCTCTCTCTCTTTCTCTCTCTATCCTTCACCCTATTTCTCTCTCTCCGCTTATATATCCTTCTTCCTGTCTCTCTCCTTTCCCTCTAGTTCTCAACCCAGAAGTATATCAGCATCGGATAATTCATACATTATAATGTTGATTATCTCACAGACACAAACCGAAATAAAAAACTAATAATCATAATAAACAGAATAACAAAAATTACACTCTGCGCCTCGTCTAATTATGCGCATCTCGCCTACCAAGAATAATCAAAAAATAAAATTAATTAATTAATTAATGAAAAAAAAAATGAATGACACTCATGCACATCATCATACGGCGAAAAATCAATCTTGTTCTATTACCATTACAGATAAAAAGAAAAGACTTTGAAGTAACCACGGAGAGTAACGCCAAACATCTGAGTATGCCATGCAGAGTAACAGAAAACACTTTTCTCATGAATTATGTCATGCAGTGCAATGTTAACCGTCTATTTGATGAATAACTTAACAAGAGAAAAAATAATAGTCGAAGTAAATATAACGTGAGAATGAGATAAAGAGAGTCCGAGGTAGACACAGGCAGATATATATAAAGCGAGAGAACGAGAGAGAGAGAGAGAGAGAGAGAGAGAGAGAGAGAGAGAGAGAGAGAGAGAGAGAGAGAGAGAGAGAGAGAGAGAGAGAGAGAGGGGGGGGGGGAAGAAGAGAAGAGAAGAGAAGAGAAGAGAAGAGAAGAGAAGAGAAGAGAAGAGAGGAGAAAGAGAGGAGAGGAGAGAGGAGAAAGAAAAAATAGAAATAAAGAAAAGGATAGAGAAGAGAGAGAGAAGAAGAAGGAAGAGAAAAGTTCTCATGCGACTATAGCCGATGATTCGCCCATCAGCAGTCAACCTTAACGCCCTTTTTCAATATATACACATGTTCTCGAGAGCCACCCATGACTCGGGGATATTCAGCCTCCGCCATCGCCAGTCATCATTATATGCATCTTCCCTAATCCTGCATGCTATGTATATGCACGCTCGTTCCTCCCCGGCCAGACGCGCGCTCGGGGACCCAATACCTGCGCCGTCCTGGGTAAGGTGTGGATACGGCGTTTAGAGAGGCCCCCCTTCCTTGTCTTGGTGGCTATTTGCATTGTTTTGTATTTGTTATTGTGTTTGTTTTTTGACTGCCTCGCACTTTGCATGATCCTCCTCCCGATTGCTTCACTCCTAGCACCTTCTTCTCCCGATTGCCTCGCTTCTTGCCTCGCCCCTCCACTCTGTCTCGCCCCTTCCCCCTTGCCTCTCTCTTTGCATTTTCCGTCTTTACTTTGCCTTGCCCCTTCCCTTATTCCGCTCCTTGCCTCATCCCTCCCCCGTGCCTTGCCTCGTCCCTTGCCCTGGCCCATCCCCCTTCGCTTAC